CTTATTATTATTTTTAAATTATTCAGCAATAACTAATTTATCTTGGAAAAGAAGCAGTCTAATATATATGCTAAAATTATAAAAGAAATCTTGATAGTTACAGATATTTTATTTTTTTCGAAAAAAATGCTGTAATAAAATGTCTTACTTACCAGTTTTTTCTCTTTTCCGTCTTGCTTTATAAGGACTTTTAGCCATGGGCTCCTACCACCTATTCTAGAAAAACTTTCAACACTCTCCTTTTACACTCAGTAGAGCCCTGTTCCTTGAAGTCGCCTGCTGTTTTTAGATTGCTGATCAGAGTGCTGCTTGTTGCTTTTCTTGTGGCTGTCGAAGCGAAATGCGAGACCTCTCTATTATGAGATAAAACACTTTTTCAAACCAAAAACTCAGACAAAATTAACGGACTTTATCAGTAGCAATTAAAATTAAGAACTACTAAAAGAACTGGTGCTCTTTTAAAGAGATGATCATAAGAGCAGACAAGAAATCTATTCCACGAGGTAATTTGAAAAAAAAAGAAAGAGACACTACTTAACTGGTAAATCTCCCTTACTACAACCTCTGCTGGAAGAACGAAAGAGAATCTTTGAGAATAAAGACACAAGCAATGGCATTCCTGTAAGATTTGAATTAAATAAAATTAATGCAAAAGTAAAAAGATTATATGCACAAGAAAAGCGAGACAAATGGAGCGAACTGTGCTCAAGCCTTGACTCAAGAACATCTAATAGAAAACTGTGGAAACTGGTAAAAAATATTGGCAGAGAGCAACCACAAGTAGAACAATGTAATACAATTCAGAGCGAAGATGGAAAATATGGCTGAAAATGACGAGCAGGGGGGCCAACAGCATTATCAGGAAATCAGTAAACTGAATTTCACTGTTGAAGAAAGACTTGTCAAAACTAGCCCTAGTAATATTGTCCATGGCTGCCGAAGCAATATCCAAATTGGAACCTCCATTTTTAGTAGGGAATTTGGAATGAATGAACTCGAGAGTGCAGTCAGGGATACTAACCTAAATAAATCTCCTGGACCTGAGGGTATTCACAGTCAAATGATCGACCATCTATGCCTGTTTGGAAGACAAAGGTTCTTGGACATTATAAACTGCTCCTGGAACAAGGGACAGCTTCCTAGGGACTGGTGGAGAGCAACCATTATTCCTTTTAAAAAAAACCTGGTAAAGCAGACAGCACCCCGGAGAATTATCGGCCCATAGCCTTGACCAGAAAAGCCTACAAAATAATGGAGAAAATGGTTCAAAGAAAGACTTACATATCACCTATACTTCCACGACCTTCTCCCGGAGGAGCAGTATGGTTTCAGAGAGGGCCATAGCACTACTGATCAGCTACTTTACTTCTGTCAAAGGACAAGAGACGCTCACAACAAGAAACCTACTAACCACACTGTCGCGGTTTTCCTGAACTTATCCAAGGCCCTTGATAGAGTGTGGAACAATTTACTAGTAATAAAACTTCAAAAATTTTTTGGAATTTGCGAAAAGCCCTTTTCTAAATCTATGATTTTTTGAGAGACTAATCAATGTAAACTTTAATCATTATCTCTACAGGAGTTTTAGAATCTTTCACGGAGTGCCTCAGGGCTCGATACTGAGTCCAACTCACTTTACTTGTCAGGTATTGAGAATATTATCAAGAGGAAATGTGAGGTCGGTGCTTTCGCGGATGATATTGTCCTGTGGAAGTCCGATTCTGACTTGTCGATGTTGGAGAGAGACATTAATCTTGTCCTTGAGGACATTCGGAAATTCTCTGAAGACCACAAACCACGTTTTAACCCAACTAAGTCTTCTGTTAGCTTCTTCACGACCAATAGAAAGCTATATAATTTCCATCCTAATATCTCATTGAACGATCAACCTCTGGCAGTGAATAAACATCCAAAATATTTGGGTTTCATGTTTTACCCTGAAATACTGGGTAACAAACATATTGATCATCTTGTACTGAAGGCAAGAAAAAGACTGGACATATTAAGGTATATCTGAGGGCGTAATTGGGGTGCGGATGCTAGCACTCTTAGAAACACGTATGTCTCACTCATGAGACCCATCCTGGAGTATGGCATTCCAATTTACTGCTGTGCCTCTGCATCAAATCTTCAAAAACTTGAAAAGGTCCAGCTCAGCACTACTCGGATCATCACTGATCTTAGAAATACTTGTCCCAGGGATATAGTGCTTTACGAGGCTGACCTGCAACCCCTTAACCTTAGGAGAACAAACATGCCTAACAAAATATCACAGCAAACTCAGTGGACTGGGTTCTCAAAATCGTACTTCTACCTACTTCAAGGACTGGCGTAATAACCAGAGACTCAGGAGAAACAGTCCCTTCAGTCAAATGGTTTCTTTTTATCAAGTCAATGGTGCTGTAGAACTACATCACCTGGCACAATGTTTTGACCCATCAGATGGTCTTGACGGTGTCTTTTTCCTCCCTGACGTTCCAGTGTATGGTGTATGTGAACAAACAGACAGATTTTCCTGCCTATCTAAGGCAACCAGCTCCAGAGAAAATTGGAGAGATTCCGGGTGATGCGGTGCAGGTTTACACGGATGGCAGTAGAGACGAATGTAACCGATCTGACAGTGGAATTTACATCAAATTGCAAGACAATGACTTAAAAATTCAGAAGAGAAATCCCGATTACTGATGAGTATTTCGCAGTGAGCTAATAGCCATTGATGAAGCCCTTGATTCTCTTGTGTTTCTTCCCCGTGGAAACGAGATATGGGTCCTGTCTGATAGCAGAAGTGCAATACAGCACTTGACCAATTGGCAAAGCGTGAGAGATAGTGTTGGCGTGTCAATACTCAAAAAGTTAAAACGGCTTTCCATTTCGCATCAGATTAATCCGCAGTGGATTCCTTCCCACGTTGATCTTGAAGGAAACGAGATTGCGGACATTTTGGCTAAAGCTGGTACTAGCGAGGCCCCTGTACCGTCGTCACACCTCACCTCTTTGGAAATCTTCTCAAAAATAAAACACAAAAACAAGACCACTTGGAATGTCCCCTCCCCCCAAAGCACCCATGGTATCGGTGTTCTCGATCTGGAGGCTCCCTGGCACAAGGTTTTAATAGACAGGAACAAACTATTCTTGCCCGCTTTCGAAGTGGTCACCTTAAATAAATGAAATTTTCGGAGGGATCCAAGAACTTTGAAATTTGTACCAACTGTTCTTCAGGCCAGGCTTCGCCTCACCACATCCTCGCGTACCTGGGGCTCACCAAACAGGATTTAGCAGTTGATCCATTAACGGTGTTGGATTTCTTGAGGGAGTATAACGTCATGGACCTGGTCTAGCATTGCTGGCCAATGGGGTCGTGCAACAACAACAAAATTAAGAGCGCATGTGATAATCTATGTTTAAAATTACTTTTATAATAAATGCCGTAATAGTTTTAATATATAAGAATTTAGCTTTTATATTCAGTGGAAAATATATGTAGCATGATAGTGTAACACTGGATAGTGTTTCGTTCTAGTCTTACTTTCGTTGCAGATTTTTTTTATGGTTAAGATTTATAAAATAAATAATAATTTACAAGATAAAGGTGTATCAATTGGAATTTTAATTATTTCTAGTGCTTATGAGCTTTAAAACCTGTTTTGTGTTGTGTAAGTGTGTATCGTCTTTTAAAAGGTGTTCTGAGAATATGTATGAAGAATACGGTTCACGGTCTCTTTTATAAATAATATGCCTTTTATTGCCTCAAATTAATATTTAGTTTGAAGTATTTGTTGAATTCTAAGCGTAACAGAGAGGGAATCACACAAGTATTTTATTCTAAAAAATACATTAAATATATTTGAAATCAAAAATTCTACTAGAATATGCTACTTTAGGGTGCAATGTTTAATTAATTTGCAAAAAAACAATAAAAGAGCCTCATGATTAAATTACAAGTTAATTAAAAGTATTTGTAACAGAGGGGACAAATAAAATTCCGCACATTTGGCATGCACTGTTACTTACGCTAAATTCTGTGATTTGGACCATCCTAAACATTATCTGTAATTTCTTTTTTTAAATTATCACATTTCAAGGTAAAATAAATTATTACAAGACTTTTTAAATAGCAAACATATTTTTTTAAATCCTAATAATGCATCGTAGCAGAGTTGATAAAAAGTTAAATTCTTAACTCTTAAGTTAAAAGTCTTAAAGTAAAAGCTAAAAAGGAAATATCACTGTTAAAAGTGACTCTTCGGCAGGAGTTGGCAGCACTGCTCTAATTGAAACCCGTACTACATCTTTGTAGCTATGTTTAAAAGTTCATATTCTTTTACTAGACCGTGTCTTAAAAAAAACAAGTGCATCGTTTCTTCCCTCTTAATTTCAGTTACTTGGGTAACAGAATTAACTACCCAATTTCTTCCTAGAACTCTTCATACTTGCAAAACTATCTATTGCAACATCAAAAGAATCCCAGCGTCTTAAATGGTGACTGGTTTGCATTTAATATGCCGGGTTCCAAAGTCCTCCAAATTTCCAAAACAAATAAATACCTCTGGGGTTATTAATCGAGGAGTTCCCTTGTCTTTTGGATTGAGTTCAAAATTACAAGGCTACGGGGTTGGACATTGGTAGTCGTAAACTCAAATTTGGGTAGGCTGTTCAACGACGGTTATAAAATAAAGAAAGTCAATTGTCGCAAGTCGACATATTTAGTAATTCTGTGTAATTTTGGGCAAACAACTGTGATTCTAATAGCAAATTCACATTTTCGTGAACAGCACATACACATTCTATATGGTGTTTTACCTACGCATAAAATATGGATAGGTCATAGTACAGCAAACTCAGATTTGCTCATCTTTATGTTTGGATGCATCTGCATTGATACTTGCTATTCTTCCATCAAGGTGCCCATTTGGCTTTGTGAGCTTTCTCTCTGATTTGTTTCACCAGAAACTTATAAATGTAGATAGATATTTCAAACAAACTAAAAATAAAAGAAACAATCAATACGAAAAAATGTATTTGAAAGTCGCAAACAAAAATCAATCGTACACTGTTTATTAATATGAAGAAAAAATATTTTACATTTAGCAGTGAAACTAATGCGCAAAGAGTGTTCATAGGAAACAATAACACATGGAAATAATAATTCAAACATTCAAATCCATTCGAGATTAGTCCTTAATATATTTCATGAAATACATTGAATAAATGATTCCAAGTCAAAGTATTCAATCTATCGTGTAGAAATCTTTCAGAAGTAAATACTTCTGGACCTGTTTGGGAACGCCCAGTTCTTCCACTCCTTCGGGCAACTTGAAGTTGACTCTCAATCTGTTTCTGATGATGCATCGTGAAAGGTGTTTCAGAGATCTTGGACGCTTATCAGAAGTTTCCTCATAATTTACTAGATTGCAGTACCATTTCCATACGTCATTTATCTTCTGATAGTTTATAGGATTGATCCCCTCTAAAGGTCTAACAATATCGGTCTTTGTCAGAAGGGCATCTGGGATAGAGCTCCAGAGTACTCGCACGGCCATTTCGTGCTCTGCATATTCGAACGGCTTATAAAGAGTCAGAAGCTGAATTGCACGGAAGTTGAGAGGATTTCCAGACATGTCATCCCAATTATCCACCCACGCATCGTAGCCTTCTTTATCATCAAAAAACCTAAAAAGTAAAAAAAAGAAGAGTAAATAGACTCTAATTCAATTTTTGAAACGCGTGTAAGAAATGTTACTCTGTTTCAATGCATTTTAAAAGTGATTGCCAACTTGAAATTATAGTTGGTTCCGTTTCATGGGAATCTGAATTCTTAATTAATGTAAGAATAGTCAAAATGGAAAGGAATTACCAAAATATGGCCCCAATAGTGCATACAATTCAATTTTTAGAAGTAGGATAAAATAACAAAAATTTCATAAAATATCTAGAAACAGAATAAAAATCTCAAAATGTGATATTTCAACAACTGAACTATTAGGACAATATATTACACTACTCACTGTATTTCTAAGTCATGAATCCGAAATAAAAGTGTTTTTGTTCAAAAGCAATTCATTTTTGTGTCTGATCTTGTGGTTCAACTAAGAAAAATATTGATATAGTATTCAACATATTTAATAACCCTCCTTTTAACCAAAAGTAATTCTGGGGGATTAGTTTTCTTCACTGTCAGGATAACAACATGAATAACTTTCGTTATTGTGATCCTCTTTCCTCGAACTCAGTACTAATCATAATGATTTAAAGAGGTGACCTCCATTATGCTAATATGTACGAATTTACTTAGTTAGAGAATCAGACACGAAAACGTACTTCCATCAGAATAAACATACCGTTTTTTCAACGAATTTAAATCTTTGACTCTCTAAATATGAGATGTAGCCCCAATCTAAAAAAATATATTTACCAAAAGCAGGAATAAAACAGTGAAAATTATGAAGAAAATGGGAAATAGAATGACAGTTGTATCTGACGTCATCAGGAGGTGCCTGACCGGAAGGGTTCCTTGGGATATTGGTTCATCTTTCCTCCTAGGTGAATTTCATACCCCCTTCCTTACCCGTCGAATATCGAAGGCCCTGTTATTAGTCTCTGAGGGATCGTTTTGAAAGAATCCTGAATGCTCTGAGTGTGTCTTTATGTTATTGGATTAAGCAAAATACATTCGTAGAATCGTTCATGTCCTCAAAACAGGGACTAATATAAATAAAATAAGGACTCAAAATAAGGACTAACTATATTCAGTATCAACTGGCGTAATGCTGATCAATGTCAGCATCATTAAATTGTATATCTAGCATGACACGTGAAATTTACCACACTCAAGCTACTTTTTCCACTAATATTTGCGTTATATTCTCCAATAATAAATTTTTTTACACATAATACAAAAATTATTTGAAACTTTATCCACTACAGTAACAATAAATTAATCTTTACTATTTTTAATATTCCTAGATAAATCATAATCAATAAAAGTACCACTAGGAAATGAACTAAAACTGGTATTAAATAAATTAAATTAACTTTTTCAATAATTTTAGCTTCTTTTCCTTTATTGTTAAAGTTATGCTATATTATTTACAGTGCGTAAAATAAAAAATGGAATTTAACGTAGCAGTTTGTTTAGATCGAAGTTTGGGCTCCTTTATTTAATATTAATTGCAGTTTTCATGCATTTCGCCAAGTCAGGAGAACTTTTGAAACGAATCGAAAATTTTTGGCACCTAATAATAATATTTATTATTTTTTATTAATAGTCTGAACATTATTCAGAACAAAATTTTTACATTATTCAGAACATTATTCGGAACTAAAAAAATCGGGTGAAAGAAAGACGAAAAAGTTAAAAAAAAAACTGTCCCTACTATGAATCTATAAGGAGAATATGTAAAAAAAAAAACAAATGACTCGAGAATAAGTAAAATTTTAAGCAAAAAATTAAAAGTAAATATGAAAATAAAATAAAGAATTTTGAATTTTGTCTCATAAAGTATAATGTTACTTTGATAAAAAAAAAAAAGCAAATGGGTAAAAAAATTACAAGGGAGCAAGTGCCTGAAGTCAATTATTGAGAATTAATTGATCCAGAATATATTAAGGGATCAGAGATATTCTAAAAACAATAATAATACACTATTATCATTGAGCAAATGCACTACACTCTAATGAGCACTGCATCCTAATGTTATGGTGGGGCGTTTTCAAATTTAAATATATAAAGAATTCAGCGCAATTTTCATTAATTATAGCTTTAAAAAAATTTGAAAGTTGCATTAGCTCTACATTTATTTTAAAATTATTATATTCTATCTACTACTGGTCTTAAAAGTAAAAAAAAAAAAAAAATTAGTATTCAGCGCTATGAATCTTAAAATCATGAAACTAAATTTAGATAAAGACACTAATTATTTTAATAAAAGGTAAAACATAAAAAATTTAAAAAAAATTAAGCAGAAAAGTAACGGAAATAAAAATTTACCATTTAAAGGAGCAATAATACAGGTGTTTTATTAGAAATGTTCCGTTAGAGGCTCCTGCTTCCGTTATTCTGATGAATGCTTCGGGATCTTTTCCCAGACAACCGTGAGAAAAGTCGGTTCCCTCTAATGGAAGGTTTTTTTTGAACATAGTCCAGAGATCCAGTTTAAGTTCCTTAATCACTTTTAGGACAATGTCAATAGTCTTCCCATAATTATATGTAACATTAAAATACATATGATACCATATGCCATTAAAAGTAGTATCTCTAATATTATTAGCTTTATCTCTATATGAAAGAAGAAAGCGTTTTTCGTCAACGGTAAAATATTTATATGAAGATCTAGCAATAAAGTCGTCTAAGACGTCTAAGCAATAATAATCATCCTGATTATCAGCAAGGTATTCAGCCATTGCTGTAGTAAGGCCTAGAATTGATTGGTAAGACTTCCAGTTAGTAATAGATTCAAAAGTTATTAAACCTGCTAGTACGCATGCGCAATGTACATTTTGAACAAGCCAATAGGATTGAACGTTATACGCACGTCATATGTAACGCATGTATGCCGTCACCTTTTCTAAAGACTAGTAGACTCCTCCCCCAGTACGCTTGACTTACAACCCACGTGGTTTGTACATTTTCTTCCCCCCCCCTCAAAACGTCCTAATTTTTCAACAACAAAAAAATTAATTAATTCGAAAGAAAAGAAGGAGTTTTCTTCCTAAAACACAAAATTATTATAGTTTTATAAAAGAAACTGCAAGATTAATATGATTATGATTAATCATAACGAAAGTAATGGTTACTTAGATTTGTAAGCTAATTAACTGTAATTGAAAAAAAAAATATTTAGACAAAGAAATTCAAAATGTGTGACACAATAACCTAATAAGTCTATAATATATTTTTAGGTCATTTTTGTTTAAAGGCTAATTTTCGAAAACTTTTCTTATATTTATATTACTGTTATATGAAATTAGGTCACATATANAAAAAAAAAAATATATATATATATATATAAGACAAATAAAATTACGGCTTTAAAATGTAATACATAAAAAAATAATATGAATATGAGATAAAATTTAGTTAAATATACTGACTTTAAAAAAAACTTTATTTAAAAATATTTTGGGAAGCAAAGTACATTTAATTTATATGTTGTAACTTTGAAATATGTGATTCGTTAAAGAACAATCCTTTCGCTTGAATCTTTCCATATCAAATTGATGTATTCTTAAAGGATCTATATTTTTATAAGTGATTTTGGACATTTTAATGAAAATTATGTTTTTTAGCAACTTTTTTGCATTGATGTACTTTTACACTGCATCTAGCCAGAAAAAAATAAACAAATTCAAAAACTTTGAAATAAGTTTAAAAAAAATTAAACATGCATTACCGTATTTTACCAATCTTCTTAATACGCAATATTGTTTAAAAAACTCTTTTTATACAACATATGAAAAGTACCAATTCTTATTCATCAAATTCCTGTTCAGAAGATTATTGATTTAAGGAAAATCTTGAGTTTGTTCAGGTCAAAATTTGGAGTTGTCGCTTTAGGTTTTCTTATTCTACACTGCAAAACAAGTTTAATGTAGCTTTAGTGCATAAAAACTTTCGATGTATTTTTCAGAATGCATTTTATTAAATTTAAATAAAAACATTTAAAATTTAACATTTAATTGTAGCAGCTAGATGCGCTTGATTTTGGTAGCATTTCTGACAATATTTTCAAACTTTTTCTCATTGGCAAGTAAATACGTCGAACCCCGCTATAGTGAACCTGGGATATAGTGAACACTCGGATGTAGTGAACTTTTTTAGCGGTCCCATCCGTACTCCTATTTAAATAACGTTATTTTTAACGCTTATAGTGAACAGCTTAGAACCTTGAAACTCGGTTATAGTGGACTCAAATTTCATTTCTTTAAATATCTTTTTCAGTCCTCCATCTTTAAACTTGTATGTGTTGGGAGTGAAAATGAATGCATTCCTAAAAAATGTGTCATATTTCACTCCTTTATACTAATCACTTTTAACTATACTCTAATAAATGTCAAGCAGATCATTTATCTTATACTCCCCCCTCCCTGGCAAGCCTTGCTTTGTCTCTGTTCCCCAAGCTTCCTTTACAACTAGTTAACTTGGCCACCTGCTGAATTTTTGGAATTTTCTATTTGTTCAAACCAGATTCTTTACAATTCACCCCTTGACAATCAAGAAGGGGAGCGTTCTACGGCCTGCTGAGCCTGAACTGAGCAAAAATTTTTACCCCCTTCAATCTCCTCCTCACCAAAATTCGTCATGGGAGGGGAAAGAAAGTAGGAAGTACATTTCAAAAAGACTAGTTTAAAAGGGTAGCTACAAAATTGGCTGTTTTTCGCCAAAAGATATTCTTTCGCAATATTCTCTCGTTCCTTTCTTCTTCTTTTTTTAATTCTTCCGATTGTTTATACAAGCATGATATTGATAGAAACTTATTTCCATAATTTGGAATCAAAGTTTTATTTCCAAGCACATATAATAAGTAAATAAATATTAAATATTATATGAGAAATGATAAATAAAATTTTTTAAATGGGGCAGAATTGGACGGATTTAAAGTAAGATTCTTCTTTATGTGGGGAATAGCTGATAAGTTTTGGTTTAATTCGTTTAATTAGAAGACATATTAGAAATGTGAACCTCTAAATATTATTTTTTAATTTTGAGGATTTTCCCAAAGTGGGAATCAAATACTGTTTGCATATGTTTACTCTAAAATAAGTTTACGGTGAAAGTATTTTTAACAGTTTTTCATTGTAAAGCATATATTTTAGAAAAATGTGTAATTTTTAATGGTCAAATACTGAGATTGAAATTATTGAAATGGTATCTTTGCCACATACGATATTATCATCTTATTTAAATTGAAAAAATAATAAAAATATGAAAAAAAAATTATTAATTCTTATTAATTTGTTTATTTATTATATTTTTTTTATAAGATTTAATCCTCGAATGAAGGAATTTTATTAATAAATGTAGAGAGTTTTTGATTTATATTAATTTGTTCTAAAAGCGAGATGAAACATATTAAAATAGTACTAAAATTGTTAAAAAAAAGTTCCAAATTTATCGTACTTGTCATGTTTGTGTGCGGCTTTGAAACTTAAATTATCATCTTCACTGTTATATAGAATATCTTTCGTTATGTTAGGAATATTGCATCTTAGTTCAGAATATTTCGATTTTAGGATCAAAAGTTATTCAGAATAAAACGTTCTGTACATCTTTTTATTTTATAGACTTATTTCTGGGCTAAGATAATGGATTATTTAAATGAAAAAAAGTTAAAAGACATTAAAGAATAATAGCCATAATGCCATTAATAAGTCAGTTCTACTCTTCCAAAGGGCTAATAGAAAAATATCTCAGAGATGATTTAAAAATCGATTCTCTTTATGAAAATTGAAAATCATCACTATCCAAACCTTATTAGCGAACATTGAATGGAATTGAGACATGTGAGTTTAACGAAATTTAATTCAAAAAAAGTTTTTGGTATTTATTTATAATGCTTTCTTTCTTCAATTTTAAATTCTTAAGAATCAAATGAAATGTTTAATACTGAAATTAAAATAAAAATTATATATATATATATAGTTCGTTGATAATTTTCAAAATGAATACTAAATAATATCCAAATAACATTTATTAAGGAAAAAAAAAAGAGATAATAAGAGATAACAAAAATATATACAAAATAAATACAAACATGTAAAAACAAAAATATTTATATGATAATATATACAAATACTAGTATAAATGTAAAAACAAACATATTGACATATTTGTATTCGTGGGTATTTTGACAAAGTTGTTTTTTATATATATAACTATTCTTACTTTTTGGAGAAAAAAGAACGAATAAATAATATTTCAAAAAATATAAAAAATTACCAAATATATATCAGTTTTCAAGTTACAATTATAATATGAAATAGCAATGGCATTACAGAAATTAAATAAAGTTGTTTTACTCAATTTACGAACACTCAATGAACATTTTTTTACGTTTACTTAATTATTGAACATAAAAATATTGAATAGGCTTAAATATTATAATTTTTTATGCTTGAAATTGAGATATGGTTTGAAATTTTACAGTAAAAAGTAAATGTCATTTACTTCATCTAAAGTTGGAAACAAAAATTCTTTTTTTTTAAATACTTAAAAATAGCTCATTTCGAAACAATATGCTTAATTTTTATATTCGCTAATAATTTAAATATTCGTTAATCGCAATAAAAAGTTATCCTATATTTTTGATCTTATATTATGATTGTACAGCATGTCTAATTATTAACAAAAACAAAATTAAATTAATAATTAGTTTATTAACAAAATTTGATTTCCTTTATTTCAAAATTTTTTATTGAATTCTTTCATTATTTTTTACGTTTCCCTCCCTAACTTAATTTTTCCACTCCTTCGAATTTTTTCATTTTCTAATTTTTTCATCATTTTTAGAACGTTTATTTTGTTTTTTTTAATAAGTTTAAAAAGTAAAACTAGAAACTGTTTTTAAAATGATTTACAGAGCGGTATTAAAAAATTTTGAAATCTTTATCTTCTTCAAAAAATTAAAATAATTAATATTTATTAAAAAAATATCTATTTTGTTTTGAAGGCAAATGCTTCAATTCAAGTAGAATCAATAGAACCTTAGTTTCTCACTGTAATATATTTTAACTATTTTTGTTCAAATTTCTTTTTAACTTTAATTTATTTTAACTACTTTTGTTCAAATTTTTCTTTAAATTGTTTTTGTTTTATATGACACTACATTTAAAAAGACAAAATATCCTATTTTTCCTTTTTTAAATTTTTTCGCTAATAAATAGTTCTTTTTTTGTTATTTTTCGAGGTCCACTTGCCTCGGCAGTGTTTATTCTAATGTAGGTATCACTTTGTATGAAATTAAGGTTTTTGACGAAAAGAAAGATGTTAGGGCTTTTTGCTCCACAAAATGAACTAAACCTGCTGTGAAAACTCTCACAAGAATTAGTTGTTCGCCACAGATCAGAAGAGTCAGCTGCCCACATGGAAGGAGGATACGGCGTGTTATTATCTACGTCGATGTAGTTTTTTGCTAAATAATTAGCAAATTCCATCACTCCTGATGTCTGATGCCCAATTGATAAAAAAAAAATGCCACTTTGACATCTTCTGGGCTTAAATATGTAAGACAAAAACAATAGCTCAACCATCTTCCAATTGGAGAACCTCGCTCTTTGTAGTGCCTACTAAGACCTAATTGCTGTATTTTTCTCCACCTGAAAAAGATCACTCTTGTAGTATTATTAATTTGAAATAAATAATAAACAAATAAAAAAAGCGGAATGTTGAAAAATGCAAATACAAATTAAAGAGCACGCACTACAGTATATTTAAGTAGATGTTTTAAACTTAATACTACATTGAAATAATAATAATTCATTTTAAAAGTTTGAATGTGTGTTAAATATGAAAGAGGGACAGTGTTTATTATGATTTTTACAATTT